GAAGGCCTTGTATCCTTTCTCTGCCTGGGTGCCCACCCACACAGACCCTGCCTCGTTGCAGGCTTGTCTTTTGATGTCCCCAGCATCTCCAGGCATGTCCCTCAAGGCCTCCGAGCTTGTGGTGGTGAAGACCTGCAGCTGGTGGCCCTCCCCTGTCTTCCTGGGAGTCCCCTTGAGCATTAGGGCAGAAGGACAAGGGCCCTGTTCAGTCAGCTGCAGCTCCTAGCCTGGCAGACCTGAGCTAGGTGTGGGACTGGGGGTGGGAGAGATTCAGAAGAGAAAGGCCCAGGGTGTCAGGGAGACAGCCTGAAACCAAAAGGCCCTGGACAGGTGGGCAGACCACTGATTGTCTTTAGCTTGATTCTGGGGATCCCCTCTCCCTTTTGCCTTGGAGAACTGTTTCCCCCAGAGGCAGGCTGGGAAAACTGCACCTTCTCTGGGGCCTTCTGCATGCCTCGCTGCCTGGGGAGCTTTGGTGTGAACTGCAGGGGCGTGAGGGCGTATATCCTGTCACTGTGGTCCCTGACCGCAGGCTCTGCTGGGAGGAAGAAGTTCGGGGAAGACACCCTGCCCCCCGGCTGGGCTCACTCTTCAACACCACCTTTCTGAGGCTGCAGCTGAGCCAGTGCTGGGAGGAGATAATGAAGAAGGTGAAGGCCAGATGCCTCTTCTGGGGTCTCAGCAATGTGGTGGTGGGTGAAAGGGACGGGGATGTGCATATGGGTGTTTGTGTGGTGAGGTGTGCGGATCATTAACTGGGGGTTGTCTCGGCCTCATCTCTGCCTCTTGCTGCAGGTGGGAGGGGGGTGCCTGGGCCAGCAGAGCAGCCTTCTGCCTTCCTGCCTGGAATCCTGGATCAGGGCTGACTGAGAATGTGACCTTGTCCCTGCCTCCCTCAGGCTTTCCTCCTGGCTCCAGGTTTGGCTCATCTCACTGGTCCTGGGTTCTGAAAAGTGCTTTTCCTTGCCCCAGTGCCTTGCTATTTAGGTGGTGGGTGTGTGTCTCCAAAGTGCAGGGGGCCTGGCCACTCTCTGGGGTGAGGCAGACAGAGATCATAGCCTCCAGGAGGGGATTGCCTGGAACCCAAGGCTCAGCCAGGAGAGGTCACACGACTGCTCATCTGAGCAGTGCCCTCCCTGCCTGATCCTTGTCCCTCCCTGGTCATGGCTGTTCCCGGCTGGATGACCTAAGACCATTGGTCCTGATTTGTCTGTACCCACCTGTCATGTGTCACAGGAGGTGAGGGGGAAGTGCTTGGTGTCTTGAAGTTCATGCAGGGGTGGGGGAGGTCAGAAGTGATGAGCAGCCTGTGGGGGCTTCCCCTCTCCCTGAGTTTGGTGGCCTGCACTGACATGTATCCTTGAAACTCACTCCTATGTTCAAGGCTGTTTAGGGGCTTGGCTGGACTCCCCATATCAACAGGAGAGACTGGCCCTGAGCTCTTGTTCTTGTCCTAGGCTGTGAATAAGGGCCACAATGCGGGGATGGCAGGGCCTCCTCCCTTTTCTGAAGTACATGGGACCCTCTTGCCAAGCCCTCATGGGCTCTGGCACCAGGAGGCACAGTGCCCTGTTGTGTCTGGGAACCTCCCAGCCTCCCAGGGGAGAGGCTGAGCCCTGTGGGTGTTTGCAAAAGGCGGTTCTGGAGCCAGCCACGTGGCAGCCTGTTGTCCAGCACTTCAGCTCCACTCACGCCTGGCCTCCGGCTGAGGATGTGGTGAGAGGAAGCTTTGATATGAAGTGACACTGAGTGGCACTGATAAGGCTTCCTGAACTAAATACTGGTTCTGCCCGGCCCTTCCTCCCTCCCTCCTTCCCTCTGCTAGCTAGGGGTGTCTAGCCAGGCTTCTCCTGTCACATGAACAAAGGCTCTTCTTTGTTTATTACAAAGTGAGGCACCTATGGTTAAGTGCAGGACAAATGTAAATGATGCTGGTGGTCTGGGGCCTGCCCCACCCCCTCAGCCTCCGTGTAACCTTGAGGAGGCTGTGAACAGGTCTGTACCACCCGGCCCTCCTCCTCTTTCAGCTCTTTCTCATCCTTCCAAACCCAGCTCAATTGTCCCATATTCCCCGAGTCCTGCTAGGTGAGGCCCATCCTGGACACTTACTGCCTGCCCTGTTCCCCCCCCACCCCCGGTCCATCTGTGAGTTGGGCAAGGGAGTGCCCACTCTTGGTGTGTTAAATGGGTGGGATGTGGACCCTGTCAGAGTAGAGGTTGGTGTGTGTTTGTGTGTGTGTGTGTGTGTGTGTGTAGTTTGTGCGCATGTGTGTGCATGTGCATGACTCACAGGTGAGTCTCCTGACGGAAGGCACTGGTAGGGATGGAGAGAGCAACCTTGTATCCCTGGGATGCAGACAGATACCGAGGTGACCAAGCAGCATTTAGGTGTCCTGGGTGTAAACATGATGTGCCTCATCTCTTCAGTCTCCCCTGTCTGATCTCTGCCCTGGCTACCACAGCCCCACATGCTTCCCTCTGTCTCCAACTGGGATGCTGCTCCAGCAGAGATTCCCAAGGCGGGCAGAGAGAGATGGCCAGTGCCCAGTGAGAGCACTGGCTTCCTAGGTTGGGCCAGGGAAGATGTAGCAGGGCAGTGACCACCTTGCAAAATCCGGTCAAGGTGGGTCAGGTGCTGGCTGGGCCCTGGGTGGGCAAAGTTGGCATTCCAGGAAGTGTGGCCCACCTTGGTACCTTCAAAGGGAAGACGTGCCAGAGGACATGGTGCATGGTGATCCGCTGGCCTTGGACAGCTGCTGGGCTGGCCCCCTTTCCTAGGGCTCCCTGTCCTTCTTGCCTCTTTATTTTTCCTCCCCTGCTATTATATCTTTCTCCCTCTCAGTGAGCTCTGGGGTTGGAGGAAGCATGGCCATGGGAGGGAGGGAAGTATGGGAGAACCTGCTAGCCCTCTGGTCAGGGCTTCCTGTCGGCCTCCTGATCCAGTTCCTGCCTTTTCCCAAATCCTTCCTGTCTCCTGGTCTTGGGTCTCCCTCTTTGCCCTAACCTTCCCACCTTACCTCTGGCCTCTGCTTCTTCCCCCAGTCGTAGCCAAAGAGGAACAACTGTAAATGACCGGGGTGGGGGTGGGAGGAGTCGGCCYCTGAGGTTTCCAGCTGAAGTAGAGCATGTGGTCGTGTGTATGTGTGAATGTACAGGTGTGAGAGTGTGTGTGTGACCGTAAGGACAGGGGTGGGCCGGCATTGCCTGTGGGTTATGAAGGAGGAAGCAGTGTGGCTGGAGCAGGTCACTCCTAACAGTCTGTTCAGATTGGGCGCTGATTCCAAGTGTCCTCAGACTCGACCTGGCCACCTCTGTCTGGGATGCTTACCTGCCAGCTCAGGGCTCTCTGTGCTCCCTGTGGTGGTCATGGCCCTTGAGCCCAGGCAGTGGACTCATGTGGAGACGTGGGGCTGCCCCGCTCCTGCTCAGCTCCCTTGCCAGCTGCCAGGTCGGGGGGTGGAGCTCCCAGGGAGGAAGTGTGTGATGAGCAACACCTGGCCACTCACTCTGTTTCTGAAGCCTCCCTCCTGATGTTATCCCTCCAACAAGCCTGTCCGAGGCTCTTGGCTGATGGTGGAGCCTGGATGGAGGGTGGGGAGGCTGTAAGGCCCAAGGGACTGTCTTCCTATCTTCATCCATTCTGTGTTGCTATAACAGAAAACTCCAGCTGGATGATTTATAAAGAGAATGTCTTAGTCAGCTTTCCATTATCCTAAGAAATATCTGAGATAATCTACTTAAAAAAGAGGAAAGTTTTTTTTTGGGTCATAGTTTTGAAGATTTCAAGCTGTGGTCACTTGAGCTGTTGCTTTTGTGTCTACAGCAAGATGGCACGTCATTGTGGTGTAGCAATCTGCTGGACTTGTGGCAGCAGGGAGGCCAAGAGAGAGAACAGGAGGGGCCAGGGTCCCAATACCCCTTTCAAGGGCAGTGACTTCCAACTAGGCCCCACCTTGTTAAAGTTCCACTGCCTCCCAACAGTGTACTGGTTGGGGACCAAGCCTTGAACAAGGGCCTTGGGGTATACTATTTAAATCATAGTAGAAAAGAAACTTATTTCTTATACTTCTGGAGACAGGGAGGTTCGAGATTGATTGAAGGTCTCCTGGGGAGACCTTCTTGGCAATCATAAGATGGCAGAAGATATCACATGACAAGAGAGTGGGCATGAGAGGAACCAAGTAGCTTTTATGGTTGGCTCTCTGTATCCACAGGTTCTGCTCCAACCAATTGTGGATTGAAAACATTTGGGGAAAAAAATTCCAGAGTTCCAACAAGCAAAACTTGAATTTGCCACGTATTGATGGAATCCATATGAATGAACCAATGTGTGGATGCTCCCTCCTGTATCTGCCCACCATTCCAGAGACTCTTGTCTCTCCATCTCCTTGAGCATCGTTTGCCTCTTGTCTTGTTCCTTGTTCTTGTACCGGGTAGCTAGGCCCACAATGGTTGTGTCTGTATTGGACGCGTGCAGACTATTTTTCTTGTCATTATTTCCTATACAACACAGTAGAACAACTTCTTACATAGCATCTGCGTTGTATTGTGTTCTCTAAGTAAACTAGAGCTGGCTTAAAGTCTGTGGGATGACGTGTGTAGGTTATGTGCAAATACCAGGCCGTTATTCTATAACATACTTGAACATCCACAGATTTTGTTATCCCAGGATATCAGCAATATAACAAAACCCGACTCTCGAAAACTAACCCATTCTCCTGATAATGACATTAATGCCTTCATGAGGTTCTGCCCTTACCTACCATTAGGCCCCATCTTCCAACATCGCTGCATTGAGGATTAAGCTTCCAGCACAGGAACTACGAGGGACAGGTTCAGCTCATAGCAGCTGGGAGATCTGTTGATGGTCCCAGTGCCTGGGCTGGGTGATATGGTCCGCAGGCCCCCCCTCATTCTCATCTGTTGTCTTGGCACATCAGCACCCTTGTTTTGGCTATTCTGCTTCTCATGATAACACTCTTCTCTCTCTGTCTTGGCAGGTCCTTCAGAAACTGGGGAAGGCAGATGAGACCAAGGATGAGCAGTTTGAACAGTGCGTCCAGAATTTCAACAAGCAGCTGGTGAGTGTAGTGACCCTTGGCCTTGGAGAGCTCATGGGAATTGAACTGTGGCTTCCATGTGGAAAATGGCAAGGACCAGATCTGTGGAGTAAGAGGGATTGGAGGGGGATCAGTGTGGGTTGGTGGTGTCACCAAAGACCTGGAGGAGAGGGCACTGGCACTGGCTAGGAACACTGGAAAAGAAGAGGGTCAGGGGATACTTTAGAGAGAGTGATGTGGGAAGGGGAGGGTAGGTGGGAGCGGGCACTGGCTGGTGGCCAGACTCTGGAAGAGCTTGCATGCCAAGCAAGTGGGAGCTACAGAAGCTTCATGCCAGGGGAGTGGCATCTGCAGGATTTAGTGTGGGGGCAGAGCAAACTGGATTTGATTTGGACATCTGCTGAGCATGATGGGTGCTGGGCTGAGTAACAGGCTCCAGGCTGGGTTCTGTGGATGATGGTGGATGCCTACAAACAACCCCAGGTGGCCTGTACGAATAGTTACCTTGTGTAGATGGAGCAGCTGAGGTTCTAGAAGTGAGGTGATTCATTCAAGGCCGACCAGTTTGGGAAGTGGATGCAGACCCCTACTTATCTGCTTATAAAACCTGGAGGGGGTTTCCAGGGCATCCTTACCAAGGACCATTCCAGGCTAGAGGCCAGTGACCGAAAAAGGTTTAATCACACTTGGCAGTATGGGGCAGTGGTTAGATATGAGGGAGGACTCCCCTACTGAAGGGAAAACCCTGAATATCCTGACTAGGCTGTCCTTGAAACTCCCTGCTGGAGATTTGCTAAGTCCAGAAAAAGGGGGAGTGAGATGAGCCTGTCAATTCTTCTTTCCCTGGGGAAGAACAAGGTAGCAGGAAGGGAGGGAGATCTGGGCCATGACTTTATGGCTTCAGAAAGGCAGATAGAGATCTACGGGACAGATAGAGGTGGTGGCCAGTGGAATGGGACTGGGCATTGGGAATGAGGTCAGGTTCTAAGCTCTGCTAAGAGTGGGGTTGGGTGGGCACAGACTCTTGATACTTCTTGTCCATGGCTGTGGTCTTTGACGCTTCCTATCAAAGCCTCTGTAACTGGAATGAAGCCCAGGGGAAGGGGTCTCCTTTGGAGACTACTGACAGCTCACTGACTAAGGGCTAGGAGCATTCCAGAGTGACAGAGAACAGCTGGGAGAGGGCTGGGAGCTTTCTGGGAGAGGGCCAAGGAGCATACTGGGAGAGGGCCAGGGAGCATGCTGGGAAAGGGGCCTGGAGCATGCTGGGAGAGGGCCAGGGATCATGCTGAGAAGGGGGCATGGAGCATTTGCTGGGAAAGGGGGCCTGGAGCATGCTGGGAGAGGGGGCCTTCAGCGTGCTGGGAGAGGGCCAGGGAGCATGGCTGGGAGAGGGGGCCTGGAGCATGCTGGGAGANCCTTCAGCGTGCTGGGAGAGGGCCAGGGAGCATGGCTGGGAGAGGGGGCCTGGAGCATGCTGGGAGAAGGCCAGGAAGCATGCTGGGAGAGGGCCAGAAAGCATGCTGGGAAAGGGATTCTGGAGCATGGCTGGGAGAGGGGGCCAGGGAGCATACTGGGAGAGGGCCTGGGAGCATGCTGGGAGAGGGGTTCTGGAGCATGCTGGGAGAGAGCTGATAGCATTCTGGGAGAGGACTAGGGAGCAAGCTAGGTGAGGCCTCAGAGCCAAGCTACCCTGGTCTGTCAGAAAGGCTGAGCCCAAGAGGCTCCCAGAGCAGGGATGGGAGCCATCATATCTGCTTGTCCCCCAGACCAGAAATTACAGGTGTTTTAAGACCCTCGTGGATCCCATAACAGGCCACATCTATTGTGTTAAGTTTCCTCAAATAAAATAAAGGCTTGAACAAGAAATCTAAAGCCTCAGTTCTGATTCAGTCTCTTGGAAGCTCCAGATATGTCCCCTTCTTAGCTGTTTTCCTCAGTTTGTGGGCAGCTCGGAAGTCCTTCTAGGGATTGCTGCTACTTGGATACTTACTATGGGCCATGAGGTGTTATATGTGTTTTGTAGACATTTCCTTGCAGCCCTTGAAATGGGCGCCAATATTCTCTTCATTTTGCAAATGTAGCACTTGAAGCTCAGAGAGGTTAAGCAAACTTTCTCAGGCCCACACTACTGGTTTGGGGACTTGGGGATTTCAATCCAGACCCTGGACCCTTGAATTTACTCTTGAGTTTCTTCTCTGGAGCTGACCCCCAGTCCTGAATGCAGGTGGCTGGGTTGGTGGGGAAGCTGTAGCCCCAGAGAGGGCATGGTAGCGTCTCCCCAGAGCAGGCTGGACTGTTTGGTGGAGGTGAGGAAAGAAAGCATAGATGTGGAAGCTGAGGTTCCCGTGGCCTGGCTCTAGAGCTGAAGCCACAGCATTGCTCTCCCTACTCCTCCCTTAGAGTGACCCCTTTTGAGTCCCTGGTCCTGGACAAATAACCACTCGCTGATCTTTGGGCAGAGGTACTGGGTAGAGATGCCAGGGCTAAAGATAGCCAGTGCTGGTGGCTTCCTGGCTGTGGGCTTAGAGTGGTCACCTGAGCTGGTGCTTTTGTCTGCCCCAGGTTTGGTGGGGTGACTGACTTATCTGGGGCCGGGGGTGATAGTGCTGGTGGACAGTTTTGAAGTCTCATTCAAGTGTTGGGGTAACCCTCCTGTGGTAGTCAGCTTTTTTGTTGCTCCGACCGAAATACCTGACAAGAACAACTAGAGAAAAGATTTCTTGTTTGCTCACCGTTTCAGAGAGTTCAGTCCGTGGCTGGCTGGCTCCATTGCTTTGGGTTTGAAGTGAGGCAGAATATCATGGCAGAAGGGTGTGGTGGAGGAAGGTGCTCAGATCATGGCAGCTGGGAAGCAGAAAGAGAGAAAGACAGGAAGGAACCAAGGATAAGATAGAGTCACCAAGGCACACCCCCAGTGACCTGCTTCCTTCAGCCAGCTGCTGTAGGTTGAAGATACTATTCTGCCGTATTACGTTTTCTCATGTTTCCCACCATAGACTGTTTAGCTGTTGGTAGATGAATCCACTAATGAGGTCAGAGTCCTCATAGTTCACTTGCTTCCCTAAAGCCCTACTACGGGACATTGCTGCATTGGGGACCACGTCTTCAATACATGAGCTTTTGGGGGACATTCCAGATCTAAACTATAACACCTTCCTTGAAGGTTATGACACCCCGTCAGTTCTGGATCTGACTGGTATATGCAGATGTCTGGGGTGTGGCATGAGTGTTGGGGTTGGGACTGGTGTGAGGGTCCCTGCCCTTGAGAGAGGAAATGAGGGAGCTGCTGTGGATTTGGCCTCAGCCAACCTACAGGGCTTGGTGGGGAGCCGGGAAATGCAAGATGGAGACAGTGCAGAAAGCCTGGAGACTCTCCTGCCTCTTTACCTGTGTGCCCCAGTATCACTAGGCCCAGCATTAGGGGTGGACAAGGGTAGCAGAGAATTTAGTCTTCAGGGAAGAAAATTTCTCCTGTGAGGGTGAAGCCTTGGAGGGGGTGTTGCTCACGTTTCCATCACCTGCTCTCATAATGAGCCCCTCTGGGCCCGTTTGGTGCTGGTCATAGGCCCTTGTCTTCTGGCCCTACACTGAGGGACCATAGGGGCCTACTTGGCCCCCTTACTTCTGGAGCATTGCACATCATTGCTGCTGGAAACCGTCTTGGCTTTTGAAGGTTGGCCAAGCTCTACTTCTTAGGGTCCCCTTGCAGCTTGCAGGACCCAAGACTCTCTGAAGTGGTGCAGGTCTGGTTTCTTCTTTAACGTGGGGCCCACCTGGGTTCTACTCACAGTGGACAGCCCTGGCTATTGAGTGAAGACTGATCCCCGAGCATTGAATGGTGAGGGGCAAGAGTCAGAGCTGGAGCCAGAGGGGTCCTTGTGGCAGGGGGCCATCCTTGTCCTCCAGACCTTCCAGGAAGCGGGGTTCTTGAGTCTGCAGGGGCTCGGGGATGATGGCTGAGCCAACCCTTTCTGGCACTGCCTCAGGTCCTTATTAACTCCCACAGGCCAAGTTGGGCAGTGGCCCCAGAATCTTCTCCTTCTCCAGCTGGGCTCTGCAAAGAGTGTGCTTAGAACCCAAGGAGCTTCCAAAAAATTATTTCCCAGGCATCCTGTATAGGAGGCTGAGGGAGCCAGTTTAGAAGTGAGCACACACAGTTCTGATTGGTCCAAGAGGGGCTGGCTTGGATGGGATCCAGGGTAGAGGAAGGCATTGTTCACCTCGAGGACTGACTGCCGAGTGCGGCTTAGGGATCCAGCTGCACAGGAGAGGCAGAGCTCTGGGCAGCCCCTTGCACATCTGCAGACTACATGCTTGCTTACAGCTCAGTGTTGTCCTGGAAGCACAAGAGGCCCTGGTACAGCCAGCAGCCCCGGTTAGTGCAGCTGCCCACCCCATGGGGAACCCTTTGCTTGGGTGTCGTCTAGAGGCAGGTGAGGATCAGGTCAGAGGTGCAGCTGGGTAGAGGGAGTCTTCGCAGGGAAAGAAGCCGGGTCTGGAAGATTCTATGATATCAGATGACACAATGGCATTGCATCATGAACACACTTGAATCCTCATCTCTCCTAACAAAGCATTTAATTGTTAGGTTAGGGAGGCAGTGTCAAGAGTGGATGGAGCTCTCCTCATTGGTCAGTCGGGCAGGGTGCACAACCCATCCTTGCTGGCATTCTAGAGAGATCTGAACATTCGTTTCTTCATTTGATTTTTAATCAGTAGCCTCACATTTAGGTTTGATCAGGGTTGTGTACTATATACTTGACCCTCCTTATCTGTGTGTTCTGAATTTGCAGATTCAGCTGATTGCAGATTGAACATATTTTGGGGGAAAACCAATAAAAAGTAACAACACATCTATAAAAAAAACCCCAGCACAAGTAAAAAGCAATGTAGTATAATGATTATTTACATAACATTGACATGAGAGGTGTTATGAGTCATCTAGAGATGGTTTGAAGTGTACGAGAGGATGTGCCTAGGTTATATGCAGATATGTTGCCATTTTATATAAGGGACTTGATCATCTGTGGATTTTGGTATCTGAAAAGGGGTTCTGGAGCCAATTCCCCATGCATTCCAAAAATCAATGTTCTCTATGGGCAACCGAAGGAATTTTAGAGAGGCCTTTTTTTATTATATAACATCTTATATGCTGTTCTCAGCCACCCCCCCCCCTCGCCACATGGCCCCACTTTGATGTGAAAGCATTCATTGTAGTGAGTAGGCAGATCCGTGTGTTCATGGGGGCCACATTGTCACCAGTTACTCATTCAGCAAACCGCCTGGCCTTGGAGGGTCTCCCTGGCTCTCCGAGTCTCTGTGTGACTCTGGGCAGGTTGCTGACCCTCTCTGCGTCCTTGCTTGTCAGAGGTTATGGTGGAGTTGAGGTGAGGTGTACCAGCCCCTGTGGGCAGCTGGTACACAGAGCTCTGTGTGCGTTGGGGAGGAAGGGCAGGCCTGAGCTGAGCCAGGGTGAGCCTGGGGAGGGAGGTGGGAAAGCCTGCTTGCCCTCCTTGGACTGACCTGCCTGGGTGGAGAGCATCTTCACACTCTTCAGGGTGACTGATCTCCTGGGACCATGGCTGGCTGCTGGGCCTGCGTCTCCCTAAGCCCTCTTAGGGTGAGGGGATCCAGAGCAAGGGTGTCTCTGAGGCTGGGATGGGCACCTGTAAGACCAGGAGGGTGCCTTTGTGGAACACAGGTCAGCCATAGCCATTACTGTTTTCCTGTGTCCCTGTTCCCCAACCCCCACTCCTCCTCACTTGTAGTCCATCTCCTGAGAGTGGTCTTCAAGGCCTCTGGAATCTGGTTCATGGGAGCCACTTCCAGACCACCTTTGATGTGTCAGGCATGGTCATTCACCCAGGCTCAGGGAGGCCACTAACTTGGGCCTTACTGCCTGGCTCCAAGACCTGTATATACTTTCTTTTCTTCCCATACTTCTTCTGGAACTTTTCATGTCTCATTGCTGGTCATCTCAGACCTCTTACCTGTTATTCTCCCCTCTTTGTCCCAGAGTTCAGTGTCCTAGGCCCCTGATTTCTTTCTTTTCTTTTCTTTTTTTGCAGAGGGAGTAGTACCAGGGATTGAACCCAGGGATGCTTAACCACTGAGCCATATCCACAGCCCTTTTTATATTTTATTTTGATACAGGGTCTCCCTATGTTGTTTAGGACCTCGCTAAGTTGCTGAGGTGGGCTTTGAACGTGCAATCCTCCTGCCTCAGCCAGAGCCGCTGGGATTACAGGAGTGTGCCACGGTGCCCAGCCTGGCCCCTGCTTTTTGTGGTATTGATGGTGCAGAAGGATGTGGAGCTGGTTTCACCCTCTGTGCTGGCCCTGCTGTCTCCGGAGGCCCTGTTCTCAGTTCAGGAGGCTTCACACTCTGTTCACTCGTGCTCTTCAGCCTTTTCCTCCACCATTCTATATTCTACATCCTTCCTTTCAGCTGGACCAGCGACTTTAGGGTCTTGGAAATGATTCCCCCCACCCCCCCGCCATTTGCACCCCTGCTGACACTGTCCCTTCTGGAGTTTTCTTGTCCTTGGAGGTCTGTGGTCCTCTGCCATTAGACCCTCTGTCTTGTGAGGGCCCACACTGGGGCCTCCTTCCCTGACACTGTGCTGTGGCAGCCCTCTCTTCTTGGGTCCTACCTGAGCTGGCACTACCACAGCTGGCTGTGACACTCTCCTGGCCTGGGCTCCTGTGCCTGTTGTCTGAGTGCAGTTTGGTCCTTCCACACCCAAATAACCTGCTGCATTCTGTTGTACTTCCGGCATGTCATCTGGTGCACAGGGGCCCTGCCTTCCTGCCTTATAAAGTGTGCATGGTGGGGAGACAGGGTTTTCAAGGCAGGGATGATGCCAGGAGTGCAGTGCTCTTCAGTGTGAGCTTGTGGCCGTAGCTACTGTCCTCTGAGGTGGGTTCCATACTGGCCCACTGAGGGGTCAGCCGAGCAGCCTAGTTTATCATGTGAAAGAAGCAGGGAGGAGAGTTGGAGATAGAGGGTGCCCCAGGCCCTCACCTGGTTCTCATCTCTGTCCACAGACTGAGGGCACCCGGCTGCAGAAGGATCTCCGGACTTATCTGGCTTCAGTCAAAGGTGAGGGAAAGGCAGGGCAGATCTGGCAGTGAGGGGTGATGGGGACAGAGCTGGGGATGGGATGGCAGGGCCACCTCTGCAATGGTGGTGGCTGTCACTGAGAGGCCACCTGCTTTTCTCTGCCCCTCAGCCATGCATGAAGCCTCCAAGAAGCTGAACGAGTGTCTACAGGAGGTGTATGAGCCCGACTGGCCCGGCAGGGACGAGGCCAATAAGATCGCTGAGGTGAGCGTGGGACTGGTGACCTCAGCCCTTCCCGGAGTGCACTTCTAGCCTCAGCTCCTGTCCCCTAGCCTCACCCTCTGGGACAAGCTGCCTTGGTTCCCCAGTGTGCACACACTGTGTGCCCTTGGGCAAGCTGGCTGTCATTCTTCTGACACAGTCACCCGAGGGGTGAGATAATGGATTGTGGCAGTCTCTGTGTATTATGACTCATGACTTACAAAGTCTCCTTCACTGACTACTCCTCCCTGTCATCCACGAGAAGCTGCAGGGTGGGAGTTGTTGCCTCTATTACAGATAGGGACACTGAGGCTCTGAGAATCCACTGAGTGCTTCAAGGTAGTGGGGCTGGGAAACCGGGATGGGTATGGCCCAGCTCCCTGCAGGCCCACTTTCATGCTTTACCTATTTCAGAACAATGACCTGCTGTGGATGGACTACCACCAGAAACTGGTGGACCAGGCGCTGCTGACCATGGACACGTACTTGGGCCAGTTCCCTGACATCAAGGTGAGAGTCCTCTTGATGGATCTGACTTGTTCTAGTCTGGCATCCAGTGGAAGGGGAAGGAGGAGGAGACCCAGAAGTGCTGTCCAGGGCTGGCTCAGGCCACAGCCAACTCTGTCCTGTGGGTGACATTCGCCTGGCATGGCATCTCATCCTTCTGGGGCTACTCCCTCTGTGGTCAGCCCACCACCTCTCCTGCTCCACAGAACTGGCCCTTCCTGTACTTTGGGTCTGAGGGCTATGGGAGGAGCCCGTGGTGTGTTACCTGTGTGTGGCCAGGTTGCTGTGGAGTGACTCTGGGACTGACTGTAAGGTGTGTGGAGTGTGAGGCCCAGGCGTGTGTTTGTGTGGAAGGGTGTGTGTAGTGGTGAGTGTTGCCTGCTATCAGGGTCTGCTTGTCGGGCTGTATTTGTGTGATGACAAGGCCAGCTGCCTCCATCAGGCTGGGTAAGTGCCAAGAGCTCTCGGTGCGCCAGGTCCTGACTGAGGCAAAGGGGACCTGGGGTGCTGTGTTCATGAAGGCACAGGGGTCTGGCACCCGGGAGGGTGACCATTATGCTGGGCTTTTGGTCCCTGGGTGCGTGTGGGTGTCAAGGTCATGCTGCCCCGGGAGCTGCCCCCTGATGCCTCAGGCTTCCTGTTACTGATTGGGGGTGCTTTGGGAAGGAGAAGAGGGGCCCAGCGGCATCTGTAAGGAGCCCAGTGCTAGGCCAAGAAGGTTCTTGGCTTCCATATTACTGGCTGGTGTTTTAAGGAAAACATTTGAGGCAGTGGGGCAAGCCGCTGGAGGGGGTGAGTTCCTTCTTTCTGGAATGCTCCAGCACCCAGGGTTCCCGCAGGCCTGAGACAGGCTCTCGTGGGTGCCAGGCCCCGCTCAGCCCCTCCTCCTCTGCTTGCCCCCCAGTCACGCATTGCCAAGCGAGGGCGGAAATTGGTGGACTACGACAGTGCCCGACACCACTATGAGTCCCTTCAAACCGCCAAAAAGAAAGATGAAGTCAAAATCGCCAAGGTAAGGGCTGGAGGAAGGGTCAGGGGAGTCTCTGGGAGGCAGGCAGATGGCGGGGGGGTGGGGTGGGGTGGTGGTGGTGATAGTCCAGGGTCCGTGGGCTGGGGTGGGAATGGTGCTGGTCCAGGGCTGCAGAGAGGAAGGCCCTTCAGGGTGCCGGGGTGGGGGCTCACTTGTGGCTCCTGCCTGCCCTTGGCAGGCCCCTCTGCCCTTTCTGAGATTCTGAGGCCCCTTTCCAGAATGAGAATAGACCTAGCTTGGGTTTCAGTGGAATGGTGCCACCACCCTGCCTGGCGCAGGGTGGACTTCTGTCTTGGGATCTGACGTGACCCTGGGTTGGCTGGAACAAGCTGGTGGGCTGGTCACAGTTCCGGCCACCACTGGCCACTGGGTAAGGGGGTTGGGATGGTGGGATTCCTCCCACCCTGGGGCCGGACCCTGCTTGCTGAGCCCCTCTGCCCTACTAACGACTCTCACTTTGCCTTTGCAGTTGGAATTCACCCCCTCCTCGTGCCCCCCCTCGGGCAGGTTCCTTTTTCTTGCTGCAGGGGCTGTCTGTCTGTGCATTTGGGGAGTGTGGGCTTAGTGTTTAACCTCTGTGTCTGTTTCTCTCTCCCCACCTCCCTCCTGTCTCTCCACTCTCCTTTGCCTTGACCTGCCTCCCTGCCCCCCCAGCCTGTCTCGCTGCTTGAGAAAGCCGCCCCCCAGTGGTGCCAAGGCAAACTGCAGGCTCATCTCGTAGCTCAAACTAACCTGCTCCGAAATCAGGTGACATTGGCTTCTAACCTTGCACGTGCTGGCGCCTTTCGGTCTCTCGGTCTGTCATTCTGTCCTCTCACTGGGCACCTGCCTGCCCAGCGCCCAGAGCTTCCCTGGGCGGGTGGGGGAGGGCTCAGCCCCTTCCCGGGGTTGTGGGGTAGGGCTGGTCTCTGAGTTGGCGGAGGTCGAACCACCATCAGGCAGGGGACTCTCAGACACGTCTGGTTTAGAAAATGTCCAAGGTGGATAGAGGCAGAGGGGCTGCCATCCACTGGAGATTCCTCTTTTGTCCCAGAGCTCCAGGAACCCAGGAATACCTTTGAACCATTTGTCGTTTCCCGGGGCTTCCGTGGGGAGGGAGGTGATATTAGGGCTCCTGTCCTGGTGTGAGCCGTCCTTCAAGTCTCACAGAACTCCACGGTTATCTGAATTGACCAGGGAGACATATCTGAGGAAGATATGTCCAGAGAGGCCCAGTCTCCTGCCCTGGGTGCCAGAGCTGGCTAGTGGCATAACTAGATCTCACCTGACTCAAGCCACTGGGTCCTTAACCTGGTCACTCTCTGGGGCTGCATGGGCTGGGCCCTGCCACAGCTAGCCCAGGACTGAGGTGACGGGAGGGGGCGTGGAGAAGGCTCCCTAGTCTGACTGGGATGCTGAGACCTGGAAGTCGAGATCAGGGTCCTGGAGGGTTGGCCTTCTGAAGGTTTCTTGAGGACAGCTGCTCAGCATCATAGCGTTCCTGGGGGGCTTCCTGGAGGAGGCTCTTTGTACAAAACTCCTGGGTTACCCCACCACCCTGGCGATAGATACTTCCCTTTTCTCAGTGTCCTGTCCTTAGAATGGGCTGGTGTGACTGAGACCACTGGAGACAGTGCCCTGTGAGAGGTGGGCCACGTGATTTTCTGTCCAGTGAAACCTGTTATTTTTCAGGTCGGTGTAGATGAAGCCTGGACAAGACTCCAGAACCCTTCATTGTGTGTGTGTGTGTGTGTATGTGTGTGTGTGTGTGTGTTGTTATGGAGGCAGGTGACAGGCTTGACCTAGGAGGTTGGGTTTCTCTCTGGGCAGCTGCCCTATTTTTCCTGGGCTGCATCCTGATTTCGTCATCTTCAACCCACATGTATCGAGTGCCTAAGATGTGGGAAGCTCTGGCTTGGTGTGGCTCGCTGCCCAATTTCTTACCTGACCTCTGCTGCCTGGTTTCTTTCAGGCCAAAGCTGGGGACTGACTTGGGAGGCACTGGGTGTTGATAGCCTCATGCTGAGGTTGGGGGTCAGGTTGACCCTGGCTCTCTAGGGCCTGTGGAGATGGTGGGGGGGCCTTGAAAAGACCTGAGTCTTCCTCAGTCAGCTGAGGAGGTAGAGGAGAGAGGGGCTGAGGGAGGATTGGGGTTGCTGAGCCAGAGCCAGGGTTCCTGCATACTTTCCCCTGAAATAGGTGAAACCATTTGATTGGCCCCCTGGGAGGCCATGGGGCCTGGGATGGGAGCCTTCCTGCTGCATTTGGGCTCTTGGGTGGGTGTGGCTGAAGATGCTGCTGGGTGGGGCCCCTGAGGCATGTGATCCCATCTTGGGACGCTGGGTTGTAGATGTTTTTCTTGCCCAAACTGGCTTTCCTACTTGTATCTACCCCCTGCTCTTCTCCCCTCCACCAAGCACTGGGGATTGAACCCAGAGGTGCTCTACCACTAAACAATATCCCAGCCCTTTTTAATTTCCTATTTTGATACAGGGTCTCCTATGTTGCCTAGGCTAGCCTCAAGCTTGCCATCCCTCTGCCTTAGCTTCCCAGGTGCCTGAGAGTACAGGGCCCCACCACAGTGCCCATCATGGGTCCCATTTTTATTTGAGCATATCCTACTTCTTCTCAGGCCTGTCTGAAAGTTGCAAATATGTTGGATTTGCTCACATGACCTGGGGGGCTGCTGGCTGGCCATGAGCTGGGAACTTGGAGCTCAGGGCTGCCCCACTTGTGGACTTGGCTTTGGGGAGACAGGGCGTCCTCTTGAGCTGTGCTCTTGGGAGCTGACCAGCTCCACGTGTCCCTGAGCTGGCTCTGAGGTGCTTTCTATACTTGCCATGGCCTCCTGAGGCCTTCCTGCATGACCTGGTGCTGATCTTGGATCTGTCCTTGACCTGTCAGCATATAGGGGAGCTCCAGGGCCTGGAAGGCCTCCCCTAGCCATGGACAGTCTCCCCTGCTCCCCCCCAACTCTCTGCCAACCCCAGGTGCTACTTATGAACCAGAATATGAGGAATGTGACCTAAAGGGATTAAAAGACAGGCCCCGACATCTGGCAGCTCACTAATGGACCTGCCCTGTTCTTTGCCATGTGGCTGCGACCTGTGAACAGGGCCTGGCGCTCAGAGGGCCACCAGTCTGATTGAGGGATGGGTGTGTGTTTAGATGGATATTTTCCCCACTTCTGTAACACCTCTCAGTTTTATAAGGTAGATTTTAAATGGTCAGATAAGGAGTCCATGCTCACTCTTTCAAGTACCTGAAGGTATAGAAGCCATGGTGGTCCCTTCTTCAGCCCCACCCCATCACCAAATGGCTCTAGCTTAGGTATATACTTGGGATAGGGGCTCACTAGGGCTGGTCCTGGTGCCTGAATCCGGGTGGAGCAACGGGCTGGGCTTGGGGAAATCGCATGCTTTTGGCAAAGTGGTGTTAAGGCAGCTGGTTGCCTTTGCCAGAAGGTGGCCCCGGCCCCAGCTTGGCCTGAGAATTGAGGCTGCTGGCAGAGGTTCCCCCTGGGTGGGACCCACCACATTCCTGGGCTGTGACTCACACCCTGAATCTGAGTCACCTTCCTGAGTCACTGTTCCCAGCAGTGTCTCTCCAGAAGTGAGCTAGCAGAGCCCCTTCCCCAGGCCTGGCCGGGATCTGACTTGCCTTTCTCTGGCTGGGTGATGGAACCTTGGCGCCACCCGCTGGTGGATGTCAGCAACCGGAGAGGCACGGGAAGGGGAGTGGGGACTGGCACCTGCCAGCAGCTTAGCTTCCTTCTTCCTAGTCACCACCTCCCTCTGCCAGTCCCAGAGGTACCTGAGCAGCTGCTCCTAGTAGGTCACAGAAGAGAGAGGGGTTGGTGGGAAAGACTGTCCCAGGAAGGTAAAGGAAGGCTGGCCTTGGCTGAGCAGGAGCTGGCCCTGAGGAACAGGGAAGGAGCTCTCAGGAGGGGTCAGCAAGAGCAGCAGCCCAGGCTGCCACTCAGCCCAAGGGCGTGCATATGGAGGCAGGCAGGACCCCACCTGGCCGGGTCTGAGGCTTGCCTCTGCACCCCTCCTGAGTAACTCTCTAGGCCCTTTGTCTCTAGCTTTCTTGTCGTGTGCTCCCTCACGCCACCCCCACACTGGRTTACAGGGTTCTCCTTTATTTGCGTGGCTGCTCTGCTGGTTCACTTCCTTCCAGCCTGGACCGGGGTGTAGGGACCCTGAAAGGCTGCAGTGGGAGCCCCTGGATGAGTGTCCACATCCAGTCCACCCTCGGCCTTGCTTAGAGCCCCAGTCCCTGCACATTGGCAGGAGGTAGCAGTGGGACAGGCTGGCCTTGGGGATGGGGGTGGCCTGCCCTGGGCTGGCAGGGGCTGGCTGGGACAGAGGCCCAGAGAGAGGAATGACCTATCCTGCCCTCCAGGCCGAGGAGGAGCTCATCAAGGCTCAGAAGGTGTTTGAGGAGATGAATGTGGACCTGCAGGAGGAGCTCCCATCCCTGTGGAACAGGTGAGCCCAGGAGGGGTCCCTCGTGCCGGCCTGGAGGGCCCAGCCTACGTGTCCATCTGGGCTTGTCTCTGATGAGGGTGGGTGTGTTCACAGGTGGACAAGCTGGCCACGTGGCTGTCTACTAACCGTGTTCTTCTTACCTCCGCCAGCCGTGTAGGTTTCTATGTCAATACGTTTCAGAGCATCGCAGGCCTGGAGGAGAACTTCCACAAGGAGATGAGCAAGGTAGGCCCTGGGGACCCCTGTGGGCCTCAGGGCCTCTGGACCATGTTCCCTCCTGGTCTGACCATGGTGGTCATAGCCATGGATGGGGCCACCCAGGCTCCCCCTGGCCTTCCTGGCTTGGGTACAGTAGCCCACTACCCTCTCTGGGCTGTGGGGAGGAACTGGCTGGTGCCTGTTTTCAAGGGGCTCCCTCTGCCTATCCCAGATCCAGCCCTGGCCCCTTCCCCACATGCAGCCTGTTGTTGCCTAGTCGGAGAGGTTGGGGGACATGGATCAGCTGCCCTCAAACTGTAAATGTGTTCTCAGGCCACATTGGCTCATGGAGCTCAGTGTTAGGAAATGATGACGGTTTCCCAATTTATGGGGAAAAAAAATTGAAATAGGCCCGCCTTATCTGCCAGATGTGAGAAGCGGTCTGGCCAGCTGATATTCCTACACTGTATTATTTCCATGACTGGACTGGCAGTTGGAGTGCAAAGATGTTTAACTTTGCAGTTGGAAAAACCCAGTGTTGGCAGCTTCCCTGATCCATGCAATGGGTGTGGGTCTGACTTTTGTCTCTTGGGTCCAGAGGAATGAAGTGATTGATGATGGTGGATTACAAGCCCAGGGCCAGTGGAGGAAAAGCCAGCTGGGGACCTTTCCCGACTTACAACCCTCAGTAGGGCTTCCTGCCTTTTCGGGTCTCTGATTCATTCCTATTTTTTCCTTCTTCCCTTCAAAGATTTGAGACAACTTATGAAAAGTCTTGGGGAGGGAAATCTCTCTATCTAAAGTTAGTCCATGGAAATAAAAAACACTAGGCAGAATTGCATATAAGTAGGAGGAAAAATTCAGCTCTGAGCTTCCTCGTCTCAGTAATGAGAACCACAAGGTGCATGGGACAGATTGCCTTTCTTGCCTGTGCTTTGGTGAAATTCCTGGCAGTTATTGTCAGTCTGAAAGCATCTTGGCAAAACCACCTTGACCATTAGGATAAACAGTGATGGCAAAACCAAAAGTTGAAATAGTGCAAACTTTATATAGAATATTGGGGCATCCTTATAAGGAGTAAGAAGAGAAGAGATGATACCCCACAAACAATAACGGTTAGTAACAAGCCCATTCCCCTTTTCTCTTTCCCCTTGGTTTTTCGGGTTTGGTGTCCATTTCCCAACTCTCATCGATAGAGACAGAGGAGCTTGTTCCTGGCAGGGGCCGGGTTGGGAGAGGGAAAAAGAGGTGGTACTGGGGAGGTGTGGCTGTACGGGTGAGGAGCCCCGACCTGCTCAATGTTCCCCTACAGCTCAACCAGAACCTCAACGACGTGCTGGTCAGCCTGGAGAAGCAGCATGGCAGCAACACCTTCACAGTCAAGGCCCAGCCCAGGTGTGTGCAGGTGGGGAGGCCGGGGTTGGCCTGGGCTCTGGCATGGCCAACTTCAGTGGCTGGGACCCTGAGGTGCCTTTCTTGGTCCCCTGGGGTTTTGGCCCTGGGACTCTGGGAACCTTCCTGACCCTGCCTCCTTGTGACAGGGCAGCAGGTGAGGGCAGGTCAGCTGCTTCCCCAGTGTGTCCCTGAACCCGGGGTTTCCCACCTCGTTTGTGGAGAGGGGGCGGTCAGGGTGTGGAGAAGCCCCTGCTCAGCGTTGGGGGCCAGGACTGAGTGGTCCCTGGACAGCAAGCCCAACTCCAGAGCAGGGCGGTGCCCCTGCCCACCCCTCACTGTGGCTGTTGTGAGAGGCCCCGAGCCTGGATGCTGGCATGAAATGCTCCACATGGGCTCTTCCCTGTCCTCTGCAGGTGCCCCAGGGGGCCAGGTGCCCAGGAGGTCCCCGTTTCCTGAGGGAGGCCACTAGGGGAGGGGAAAAGCCCTGTGCCTTGGGTTGGGGCCGGGGGGTTGGAGCAACAGCAAGTCTGGGATTTCCCTCCCTTTCTGGGTGTATGTGTGTGAGAGAGTATGAGAGTTCAAGTGCGTACAAAAGTACACATGAGTATGTTGGTGAGATTGCGGGAGTAAGCGTATGGGCATGTTTGAGAACATGAGTATATGAGTGCACGTGAGTGTGTATGAGTGTGTGTGAGTGAATGTATGAATGTGTGAGTGTGTATGAAAATGTATGTGTGACAGTGTGGGTATGAGTGTGTGTGTAAGTGTGTGAATGTATGAGTGCATGTGAGGGTGTACGAGTGTGTTTGTGAGATTGACATATATCTCTGTGTGTGCACGTGTGTGTGTGTGCCCATGCACGTGTCATAGCAGGTGCAGAGAACCCTCGTGAGCCTCAGTTTCTGCACAGGGTGATTGTGGGTGCTTTGTGGGTACCTGGGATGCTGCCTAGTGACTGTGTCTCCCCTCTTCCTTCTCTGAATGCAAGAGTGACTGAGAGAGGGCCCCACCGGTGCCTGAGGCAGCAGGAGGGGTGTGGAGGGTAGGGGAGGGTGGGATGAAAGTCCCTAGGGAGGGCACCTGCTAGCTGCGGAGGGTCATGTGGGTACACCCAGGGCATGTGAGGTGGTGGCGGGTGTGACTGTCCTGGGCAGTGCAGGCTGCCCCCTTGGGAAGGGCACCCAAGGCCAGAGGGAGGCAAATGGAGACTTGGGACCCGGCTTTCGACCCAGCTGGCCCATGGTGCAGCCCTCCTCTTCCAGAGCTGCACACTGCCCAGCTGACCCCTCCCTGGCACTCTGGGCCCACCTGGGGTTCCTGTGGCCTGGGCCCTGTCAGCATCCCTGGTACACCAAACTGGGGTTTGACCAGGGCACCTAGGCCTGACAACAGGCCCAAGGATGGACTGTCCAGGCCTCTCCTGGCCCTCAGGAGGGCAGAGGAAGGGGCCTCCCTCTGCACCTGGCATTTCCCCCAAATGAAGGCTTCCATGTCCCGTCCATCCCCACAGAAAGAAAAGTAAACTGTTCTCCCGGTTGCGCAGAAAGAAGAACAGGTACCGGCAGATAGTGCTGCTCTGGGGGCCTCCGAGCCAGCACCTGGCCACATCGTGCATGTGCCTTGTGCCCTGCTGTGAGGGCGCCACTAACCCCTAACCTGCCCCGTGTGCTGTGCTGCCCCAGGGGACTGGGTTGTGCCATGTGTTGGGAGGGGACAGAGGACCAAGGGAGCTGTCAGGTAGAAAGGAGGAGAGTGCAAGGTAGCAGTACGAAGACGTAGCCCTGGCTGCCTGGGTGCTCACAGGTGGAAAAGGTGGCAGGGGGAGGCCTGGGGAGGCTCGGGAAGGGGACACCGCAGCACATGTGTATACCACATGTCATGTTGATCTCTCTTTAAGGAGGCAAATACATTTCCATAAAACAAATTCAAAACAGACAAGACAGTACCAGGAATGTGTCTCACATTGTCCCCAAGCCCCCACCAGGTGACTTGGTCTTTCTAGATCTGCACCGGCCAGCACAGTAAATGCCTGAAACGTGGCCAGGGTAATGGAGGCTTTGAGTTTGTAGTGTTAATTAATTTAGATTGAATACCCGCCTCCCCTGTGGCTGGTGGGTGCTGTGTTGGACAGTGCCATTCTAGAACATCCGTATGCAAGAACAGATGATTTTATCCTTCACACCCAATGGCTGCTGTGCACACCTTAGCCCAGGACCTTCCCCTTATTTCTGTTCTGTCTGCTCTTCTGCCATGAAGTCATGCCATCTGTTTACTTTCCTCTGGGGAGTATATTGGGGAGGCACACTGCGCTGAGGGGGATCGAAGGTCTGGAGACAGCGAGGGTATCATGGGTGGACTAATGGATTGCAGTGGATGGAGGTGGCAGCCTGTGGGGCAGGCCGGGGAGGTGGTCCCCACCCCCTGATAGAGGGACTGCTGTGTAGTTGGGGAGACTCACTTTGCCTCTAGAGTGTCTGGCTTGCTCATGCTGCAGATCTCGGACAACATCAGCATAGGCTGGGGTACCAGGTGCCTTCTGTGTCCCCAGGGATCACAGGCCTCCGGTCTGGAGTCCCAGCTGGTGCAGCCCCTGCCTCCAAGGCAGGTCCCCACTGTGAACTCCTGCAGGTGCATGCCCAGGGCCTTTCCTTACCACCCATTCTCAAAGACACGCACACCTCATATTCTCCTGTACCGGCATGCGTGCACACACACTTCCACACGTGGATGCAGGGGGACGTGCAGGCAATTCATGTATACACACTGTTTCCATGTGGAACCCTGGGGACATGCAGGCACCATGTACACACCCTGTCCCATGTGGAACCCTGGGGACATGCAGGGACCATGTACACTTACTCTCACACGCGGATCCATAGGGACATGTAGGCCCACGTACACACAATTCAACATCAGGATCTGCGAGGACAGGTTCACAGGTGTCCTTAGGCATACACCCGTGTACCCGCCACGTCTGCGCATCTCTCTTATGCCATGGCCTCTCTACATTGCCCTCCCTTTCTTATCCTGCCTCCATAGTGACAATGCCCCTGCCAAAGGGAACAAGAGCCCGTCGCCTCCACCAGATGGCTCCCCTGTGGCCACCCCCGAGATCAGAGTGAACCATGAGCCAGAGCCAGCCAGCGGGGCCACACCCGGGGCCTCCATCCCCAAGTCCCCATCTCAGGTAGGCATGCTGTCTCAGTGCCCTGTCCCCTGCCCCCGCTTTCTCTTGCTCCTATGTTGCTGTCTCCATCCTCCTCCTCCTCCTCTCCCTCCTCTTCTCCTTCCTCCTCTTCCTCCTCCTCCTCCTCTTCCTCCTCCTCCTCCTCTTCCATCCCTTGCCTGGACAGGTTTGGAGCCAGAGGCTTTGCCCAGCGGGGGCCTGAGTCTGGGCCTTGTTTTCTTCGGCCCCCACCTAGCCCAGGCTGGCCCAGTGGCCCTGGCCCACCCCAGGTCTGTGACTATTTCTCCTTTCCTGTGTCCCCACGTCCCCTTTCCCTCCCCTTCCCTCTCTCCCTGGCTTTTCCGCATTTTGGCTCCTTGACTTTCTCTCCATCTTCCTTCCGTGTCTAGATAGGTCCTCAGGTGTCCTCAGCCTCCTGAGTCTCGGAAGTCTCTTCTCTCTCTGGCGGGGGCTGGAGGAAGGAGCCCCACCAGGTGTTCTTATGGGATCATGAAAGGGACAGAAAGAGGGAGGACTCCGTGAGGGAGCGTGGGAGGTCCAGTGGGACAGAGCCTGGGCTTCTGGACTGTTTTGTCTCCACACCCCACCTGCCCCACCAGCGGGGGGCCTGGGAGTGGGCAGCCAGGTGGGGTTGAGAGGCGAGAACCCTTTTGGTTTCTATGCTGTTCCTGATTCAGTGGGGCAATTTGGATAATGATGCTAAGAGTAGGGACAAGTGCCCAAGTGAATAGCGCTTCTTCTGGGCTGGACACTGTACCAGTGCTCTCCATGTTTTTATTCACTGAATCCTCTCAGCTGCCCTGGGCAGTGGAGACCATTAGCACTGGTATTCAACAAAGGGGGAAGCCCAGGCTTGGGGACTGTGTGGCCTGCACGAGTTCCCTCACCTTGTGAGTAGGTGTGTGGCCCTGCATGGCCTGGCCCACGTTGGCCTCTCTAGGGACAGACTGAGGCTGAGCTGGGGCAGCCCTGCCTGGGCCCAGGGAGATGGAAGAGTGGGCTGTGGGAGGGCAGAGGTGGACAGGGGTGAGCGCCAGACCTCACCCAGAGGTCCTGGGGCCTGAGCGGTCACTCTTACCTTCTTTAGCTCTCTCTTTTGCTCCCTCTTTCTCTTTTCTCCGCTCTCTTTTTTTCTTCTTCCTGCACAGTATTTCTGGACTTCTTGCCTTGGTCTCCCTCCTGGGGGTGGCCTGTAATCCTGGTGTCTGGGTCTGGGAGCAGTGACTCTTCATTTTCCTTGTTTTCCTCACTTGCCTGCGTGGGGCTGGGGCTTGGGGGTGTGACTAACCTTGGCTTTGTCTCTGTCTCCCCGGACCCCCACGCTCTGCTCTGCCTCCTGCGCTGCCCCCTGGCCTGCGGACCCACAGCTCCGGAAAGGTCCACCAGTCCCTCCGCCCCCCAAACACACCCCGTCCAAGGAGATCAAGCAGGAGCAGATCCTCAGCCTGTTTGATGACGCGTTTGTCCCCGAGATCAGCGTGACCACCCCCTCCCAGGTCAGCCGCGGCCACCGCGGCCCAGTCTTCTCCCCTCCTCTCGCTCTCTGGGAGCGTGCATGATCTTCATCCTCCATCCCATGCCCTGGGCTCCTGTCTTTAGGGCCAGGAATCTGGCTGTGTAGTCTGCGCCTGCCTCTCTCATTCATCCGCCCTCCCACCTCCGTCATTTCCTCCACCACTGTCCATCATCCATCTCTGAGCACGTCCTGTGGCCAGATGCAGGGATACGGAGGTGAAAGCTGTCCCCTTGCCTCTGGGGGCCAGCTCTGCTGATGCTATGGTGGGGAGTGTGGAGGGCTTGGGGCAGCCAGGGAAGGTTTCCTGGAGCAGGTGACCTTCGCTCGGTGGCTACTCACAGAGAGCCAGAGGCAGAGATGGCGGAGAGTCTGGGAGGGATGGGAGATGGGATTACTGTAGCCAGAATAACATGGGGGTGGGGGCAGTGGGAGTAGCTGGTCAGAGCAGTCAGACCTAGAGTGGCCTGGCATGGAGACTTTGGCTTGTAAATGTCCTAACAGACGTGTAATGCCCCTCCATGTATGAACAGGAGGAGGGCACAGCAGGAGTGTTGCTCAGGGCTGAAACAACCTCTTGCTGGCACCAGATTGGGCTGACACATTATCAGATGGACTCAGGGGCAACCCCCAGAGAACCTCCCGCTGGAGGCTGGCTCCCCAGGCCTCACAGCCTCCCTTCTGCAGGGCCTCACCTTTGATGGAAGTGGTGCTAGACCAGACTGTGGAGGACTCGGCCACAGTGCCGTGGGGTTTCTCGGGCCTGCCTGCAGCCCGGCCCGGGGAGGGGGTCTTTCGACTCTGCCTCCAGCAGGCTCCTTTGCACAAGCCCAGAAGCCTGGAGGAGAGGCCCATGAGCATGGTGAAGGGCAGGTGGGATCAGAGAACAATTGGTCCAAGTTGGCACCAAGACTGCTGGCAGGTGGCTGTGTGACACAATGCCAGCGGCCCAGGAGGCATACAAACCTCTCTGAGAAGGAGGCACAGGGAGGTAGGAATAGCAGTGACAGCCTTCCCCTGCCTGAGGGTGATTGAACATGCTGGCCAGCATGTTTTCAGATGAGGGAGATGAATGACATGAGAGCAACTAAGTACCAACCAAGTAGTGCCACCCGCTTCCTGCAGTACATCCTTTGGTTTTCAAACACCCTCTGGGAGGGAGCATTGCCCCCATTTAGGAGGTGAGGGACCTTCAGGCCTGATTGACAGCCTATCTCAGACAGGGAAGAGGGGTCTGGCCAGGAGGTGGCTAGAGACTGCTCATACCCAGACTATCACTCTGTGTGTCTCTGTCCCCCCATGTGTCTGCATGTGCCCTTTGCCACCCCTTGTATCCATATCCAGGGAGGTAGGGCTATCCATTCTGGTCTGGGGTGGGACAACTGTCCACCTGGGGTATTGCTGCATGGGGCAGGGGTGGGTTTGTCCCCATCCATGATGCAGGTTCTACCAGGGCTTCTTTGCTGTGATGTGGTGAGTAGCCTGTATCCCTGCAAGGAAGGATCCTCAGTCATGCATGGTGCAGGGCGGGGGTCACTTGCCAGGAGAATACAGCAAGTGGTCAATGCTGTGGCTGATGACCCTTCCCTGGGAGCACTAGGGGAGTTGCTGTCTGGACTTAGCCGACTAAGGTGAGGGTGTTGAAGAAGCAGGGTGGGGCTTGGGGAGGATGCTGGCCCCCTGCTGGTGGGAGGTACCTGGAGGCTGTGTGTATTGGTGTCCTAAGTACTCAGTCCTCAGAGATGGCTTGGCTGTGAGGTGGGGCAGTGACCTTACCGACTCAGGCCCATCAGATAGGACTGGACCTGAAGGAGAGTCAGCTGCTGGGGATAGGCCTGGGCCCCCCCTGGTTCTGGGGAGTCAGTCCATTTGACCTGCTGACGTGGAAGGCCTGATGCTGGGGGACAGATGCCCGTGAGTGTTCTCAGGAGGCCTCTCTGGAGAGCCACTGCCCATACCTCAAGTCTCAGGCCCTTGACGGAGGCTCTGTGGTGGACACTGGCCTGGAGGGCACTCCCTCTTAGTGCTGGGTGCCTGTCAAGAGTGAGTAGGGCCAGGGAGTTGGCTGGCCTGGGCTTTGGGGGCTAGGGACCCGCCCAGTACTGCATGAGGGCTCAAGAGAGCCAGAACCCTGAGCCACATCCTCTTTTGGATCTAGATAAAGTCTTCTCTGGTCCTGAAAGAAGGAAATCCCTTGTATAATAAGATGAAGGCTGCAGACTGTCCAGCCCCTCCTTAAAAGCACCCTGTCCCCTGAGTGCTGGTGCATTCCCAGCCCCCCGCCAGCCTCAGAGGGCTCTTCAAAGCCAGTCATCAGTTCTGCCATCCAAGGGTCCTTCCCTGGGGGCTCTGGGGAGACCTCCCCTGTAGTGGTGCGGCCTGTTGTACAGTGGGCTTCTCCCTAGCCCTGTTCTATGCGTGCTGCTGGGCCCACTGAACAGGGGTCTGGTGGTGGCTGCAGGGGTGGAGTCGAGCTTTAACGCAGATTTCCCAGATGGATCTGAAGCCCCTAGCACTGGGGACCCCACTTTGGAGATTGGCCTCTGAGCCTGTCTGGGCTTGCTCAACCCTTTCTCCATCCCTGTAGCTGGTTGGTAGATGACACAGAGGGTGACTTGACTGGGGTTCCCCAGGGACAAGTAGTATAGAACTCCCAACCCTGGGGCCTGCAGGTTGGGGAGACTGAGGTGATCCTGTCCAGCTGGGCTGTGGCCTGGGGCTGCTCTTGGTGTGCAGCGGAGCTTTTGGAGAAAGAAGAGGAGCACAGGAGCCTGCCCATCCAGCGGATGGAGATGGGGGCAGTCTGGGGCTTGCCTTGGTCTTGCGGGGTGGCTGCCTCATGGCGGGACTGCTGCTGGATGTCCAGTGCTGAGTGCTAGGTGTTGTCCTTATGTGAGGGGGACCTGTGCCAGGTCCTGTGGTCACGGGTAGTGCTCCTTAGTATATGTGTGTGAGGTGGGTGGGCCAGAGCCTGGGATGGGGGTCTGTATTCACCTGCTGTGTGTACCTGAGGTGAAGGTGCTCAGCCTGCCACTAACGACCTTCCTCTTCTGCTGCTGCTGCTGCCAAGTTCGAGGCCCCGGGGCCTTTCTCTGAGCAGGCCAGTCTGCTGGACCTGGACTTTGACCCTCTGCCACCCGTGGCAAGCCCCGTGAAGGCGCCCACGCCCTCTGGTCAGGTTGGTTGTGCCCACTACCACCCGCAGGCCCACCAGCTTCCAGGGTCTGGGCTTATGTTTGCCCACCTGCTATGTGGCCTCTTAGGGGGGGGTCCCAGATCACCAGGCCCTCTTCCCACACACTGCCCTGCCCTTCACCTTGCTTCCTGACTCTCAGCCCTTGTCGCTCCCTTAGGCGCAGGGCAGAAAACAGACCCAGACTAGCCATCAGACACCCCTCAGAAGAGGGCTGGTTAAATACTTTGTGCAACTTCTGGTTCATCTCAGCACCCTGCCTGTCCTGGCAGCCACTCCCTGACCTGGGGTGTGGTAGCTGCAGACCTAGCTTTTGTTCCTGCTGTACCCAAGCCCTGGGTAGGGGTTCTCTGTGGACTGCTTGCTCTCCTGTCTCTAACCTCCGTACTAACTCTGTCCTTCTCCCCCACTGCTGCGCTCAGTCAATTCCATGGGACCTCTGGGAGGTAAGCTGTGTTTGCTCTGTACCCGGGGGAGCTGCGTCTCTGTGTGCCCAGGCCACTCACCCCCTACTCCTGTTCACAGGTGCACACACCTGGCACACTCACCCACGCAGCACACACAGACATGTGCACACATGCACAGGGAGCCCACTGAGGCTGCTTCTGTAGCTGATCTACTGCTTCTCCTGGTCATCACCATGGGAAAGGGCCTCCTCAGTTTAACTGGAGATGAGGGTCCCCTCCATGATGTGACACAGTCCTCAGGGCCTGTGAGTGTTTGCCTGTGGACAAGAAGCCAGGTGATCACCTAGGATGGACTGGGTTCTTTATGGTGGGCAGAGACCTGTGAGGCAGGAGGGCCTTGGAGTGGAGGGCTCTTTTTGGCAATGGGGGAATGCACAGAGAGGCATCAGGGAGCCATTTGGTGGGTGAGGGCAGGGCTGTTGTCTTCCGAGAGTAGTGACTATGGGCAGGTACAAGGCCAGCTCACTTGGGACAGGTGCCACCCATCAGCTTATAGCTCAGAGTGCTGAGGCCCAGGGAGGGCTTGGAATAGGACCCATGGCTGGTGGTGGTTGAGCCAGAATTCCCCATGGGCTTGGTCCTTGAGACCTCCTGATGCAAGCTGAGGCCCTGGCAGGAACAAGTGGATGTGGCATGTCATGCTCTGGGGGCATACACCCCAGTGCTGCTCCTGGGAATTCCAGGAGAGCATTTTACTTGAGCAGCCAGAGACAAGCCTGGTTTGAACGGCAGGGCGAGTTTCATGTGTGGATTTCTGTGGATGCTGAACTGCAGGTTCCCATCCCACCTTACCGTTGCCTTGGTAAGGCAGAAATAAGGAAGGGGGAGAGAGAGGCCAGCCCTCGGGCTCTGGCTAGACTGCCCGCCTCAGGCACCCACACCCTCCCGCCAACACTCTGGCCACTCATGACGGTCTTCTCTTGTCTCGTGCCCCCTGCCCAACGTTTTTCCCACCTGGCCTCCCTGCTCCTCCCTTCCCCACCTGCCCCATTCTCTTCTGGTGGCCTGTCACTAGCCCACAGAGAGTCCAGCTGGCAGCCTGCCATCCGGGGAGCCTGGTGCTGCTGAGGGCACATTTGCTGTGTCCTGGCCCAACCAGACGGCCGAGCAGGGGTCTGCCCAAGTAAGTGCCTGCCCACCCCTACCCCCTATCCAGCTGCTCCCCATCTCTGGGGGTATAGCATGGATGAAGAGGCCAGAGGAGGGGGTGCAGGATGGACCAGGCCACTGTGGGCCTGAGGGTGAGGATGGTGTCCTGAGCCAGGAGGCCCCTGGATAAGGTCACTAGGGGGCATGGGTGTACATGGCTGGAGTCACATCTTGCCTCCCTCCCACTTGCCCACCTTGTGCAGGGCCCCCTCTGAGTGGGGGAGGGAGGACCATTATAGAGCACACCTACCAGTTTATACCAGGCAATTTCCAGAATTTTCTCACTTAATCTTCATTCTGATCTGGTCAGCCACGCTTCTTCCTTTTCCCGGTGAGGAAATGGAGGCTAAGGGAGGTCGAGGAACTTGGTTTCAGGGGTAGGAAGTGTCCGAGTCTGTGTTGGCCCAGGTCAGCCCAATTGCAGGGCCCTTGCTGGGGGCTGCTGGGGCATCCCTGACTGTGATGTAGTGTCCAGGGCTGGGAAAGGACCACCCTGCCTGCTGTGAGCTGCATTCCTGTGGGGACAGGAGCATAGATGTAGGCTTCTGCCTAGTCAGCTGGGCCAGGCAGGGTGGACAGGAGGCAGCTGGGACTTGGTGAAGTCTTAGAGGACAGGGCCTGCGAGGCAGGCACGGTTGGGGTGGCATCCTGGGTTCCTGCACTAGGCTTCTGCATGCACATCACTTGGTGTTCCTGTGCCTGCCAGCACCTCTTCAGCGTCTTCCTGTGTCTGGGGCCTGCCTGATCTGCAGGGGTTCCCAGATTATTCAAGGTCCTGGCAATGCTAGAACTGGAGACCAACCAGGCCAATATCCCTGGCCTTCCCACTCAGGTGCTGCCCTCCCCTGGCCTGTTCCCTGTGTCCTGGTTGCAGCATCCCGTCCTGTGTCTGACCCCTTGACGGCATTTATGTTGCAGCCCGCAGAGGCCTTGGAGGTGGCAGGTGGGACCCAACCTGCGCCTGGAGCCCAGGAGCCTGGGGAGACGGCGGCAAGTGAAGCAGCCTCCGTAAGACGGCAGGGACCAAAGCCCTGCTTTTCTTTCCTGCTGTGTCCACCGTCTGTCTGTCTGTCCACCTGCCTGCCTGTGGCTCCCCTGTGCTACTTGCCCGTAGGCTGCGGTTCCCGTTGAGGAGCCTGGGGACAGGCTGGTCTGGCACCTGGCACAGACACCTCTCCTTCCCTCCCCGGTGGCCCTTGTTCTTCCTGCACCACCACCCTGATCAGCTAACTCGTCTCCTGTCCCCAGAGTTCTCTTCCGGCTGTGGTGGTGGAAACGTTCTCAGCAACTGTGAATGGCACCGTGGAAGGCAGCAGCGGGACCGGCCGTTTGGACCTCCCCCCGGGCTTCATGTTCAAGGTGAGCCCAGGCTAGCAGACCCAGCCACTGTTCCACTGTGCCTGGGGCTGGGGCCATCCTCTCAGATTTGCTGTCATATGATCCCTGCTAGGCCACTTCAACCCACTAAGTGGCCTCGGAGCCCCGCATCACCACTTCACAGGGCTTCATGGTACAAAGCCTCTGCCCTGTGCTGGTCTGGAGGGGGACCACGGGGTGACTGACATGCTCTCCTGACCTCTGCAGGTGCAGGCTCAGCACGACTACACGGCCACTGACACGGACGAGCTGCAGCTCAAGGCTGGTGACGTGGTGCTGGTGATCCCCTTTCAGAACCCGGAGGAACAGGTGAGTGGGTGCCGGGCTGCGGTGACGGAGACGGCCAGCAGGGGGCAGCAGAGGCTCGCTGTCTGGAGGTCCAGGACTCCATGAGGTGCTCCTCCCCTTTCGCTAAAGCCCTTTACTCTCATCCTGATTTTTGTCCATCCTGTCCTCTCCCACTGGCCTCTTCTCCCTGCCCCTCTTCTCTCCATCTTTCAGCTCTTCAGTGTCCTCTTTTCCTTCAGCCTCCATTTCCCTCCTTTTAGGCTCTGTCAGCTTTCTCTTTCCCCCTTCTCCCTCCTTATCTACCCCTTGCCCAGGCCACCTTCCTCCCAAAACAGGATCCCTCTTGCTCAGGTCCCTGCCTGCAGGTGTCCTCTGTGCAGTAGACGGAGCAAGGGCTGAGCAGTGGCATCTCTCTGATCACGTCCACCCGGCTATTGCCCTCGAGGCTGGCCCTGCTCTGTCCTCACGGGGCCACCATTTTCTCAGCTGTGTTCACAGCTGGGTCTCACCCCAGATGCCTTCTGCGCCTGTGGCTTCTCCATATTAGTTCATCTCAGAGGACCCTCCTAGGTCTGGGCCAGCTGATTTGCTCAGATGGCTAAGGGCTCTCAGAAGGACTTCACTTTTGGTGCAGGGAGCCTTTGTGGGGTGTTTGGTGGTGCCCATGGGGAYGTCTGGCTTTTGCCCTTAGTTTCAGCACTGAGCACCTGCTGGCAGAGCATAAGGGACCTAGGTCTGAACCCACTGATTCTCCTAAGCCCCCACGTCTCCACTGACCTCTCTAGGGTGCCTGCCCTCACTGGGTGGGATTTCAAGAAGGAGAACCCTGAACCTCAGCCCACAGGAAGGTTTTGTTCAGGGGTGGCTGGACTGGGCTCAGATAGGACATCAGAGTTACGTGGGACAAGGCAGATAACAACACAAAGGTAAATCACAAAGATCCAGGAAGTTCCCAGGCCTAGTCCAGCCACAGGAGAAGCATGGCCCAGCTGTGGGCAGGGATGGACAGTCACTCAGTTCCAGGGTAAGCTCTGGGCAGAAGACCCCTGCTAGGGGTCAGCCGTGAAGCAAAGGGCAAGTTGGAAGTGAAGCGCTTGATAGGGTGGACTGGGGACCTTCTAGTAGCTTTTAACTGGTGAGTGCTTCTAGATCTTTCCAGTACTGTATATAGAAATCTGAATCCTGGAAGGAGTGCTGCTGTCCTCCTCAGGGACGGGTCCTCTGTGGGCACTGGGTGGTAGGAAGCCCTGGGACTGGGGCTGGGGGTGTTGTTTGGCATGTTTAGATCAGTGTAGTGGTCAGGCTGTCTTAGGAAAGAGCAGCTCACCCAAACCAGGTTTAACCCTGAACCCACCCATTGAGGGCAGGCTGGCTCCTGCAGGGTAGGTATAGGTCTCAGGAAGAGGCATCAGGAGGCATTTTCAAGGTGGGCTGGGCAGGCTGAGAGGCAAAGAGCAGGAAGAGGGACCATCTTCCCAAGAGATTCCAGGGAACCCTGTTTGGTTCTGTGCCCTCTGTCCCTCATCCCTGTGTGATGTGGGTGCTCTCCTTGCACCAGGATGAAGGCTGGCTCATGGGCGTAAAGGAGAGTGACTGGAACCAGCACAAGGAGTTGGAAAAATGCCGGGGCGTCTTCCCTGAGAACTTCACGGAACGGGTGCAGTGATGTGACGGCGGAGCTCCTGCAGTCCTCTGGGCGTGTGAAGAACACCTTTCCCCTCCCCCCCAAAAAAATGTGTGTTTCTTTCTTTTTTTTTTTTTCTTCTCTTTTTTTGTTTTCGTTTTTAAACTTTTGAAAAAGCAAAGGGAAACCGAGAGACGAGAGACCTAAGCCGAAAGGTATTCTCCCAAAGATTAGGTTGTTCTCCCCCCCAAGCCCAATCCTGGCCAGTCTGGTAGAGTTCACCAGTGTTTCTGAAGCTGCTGTGGTCCCTAGTTGAGTCCCTGGCACCCTTCTCTGTGCCCGCATGTGTGCCCGGCTGCAGGGCGGGCTGGGGGCCGCCAAGTCACCGCCACGCTTGCCTGAAGCTTCAGCCGCGCCACCTGGGCAAGGGTCTTCTTTACCTGGCAGCTGCTGTGGGTGGGCGCAGACACCGGCCCTGCCTGGCCCTGCCCCGCAGACCATCCGTGTGCTGTTTGAAAATAAACCTTAGTGTTCAAACAAAACGAAACAAAGAAACGACAACAACAACAAAACTGACAAAACACTAAAAAAAAAAWAATAATAATAAATAAAGCCTGTGTGTTTATTTTGCCACCCCCGCCCATCCTCTGTATCAGGACTCCAGGAGTCCACACAGGAGAAAACCGGGACCCTGCTGGTGAAAGGGGGTCCGAGTGCTTTGTCCAGAGTCTGGTGGACTAGGAAGGGGCCTGGGCGCTGGCCCACCTTCACCCTCCTCTTGCGGCCCCTACTGAGTGCAGCCCSAGCTCCTCCGCTCCATCGGTGATATGGGCCGGTCTGAGCAGCCCACGATGACACGCAGCTGTGGCCCGGCCTTCCCAGGAGCTGAGGGAGATTGTGCCCATGGCCCAGGAACCAGCCTGGATTTGCAGATGGGAAGAACTTGTCTTCCCATAAATTTGCACTGATAGTAAAAGGAGGTGACTGTGAGAAGACTCTGAGCTTTATTTTAGAGTAAAATCTCTCGACTTTACTTTAGGTGGCAGAAGTGTCCTTGCTGTTGGCCCTGATGGGTCCTGTGGGTGACAGATAGTGCTGAATCTGCCATCCATAACTTCCAGGAGCAGTAGAAGTTACAGCAGCAGCAAACAGAGGGTTCATTTCTAGATACCTCTCTTTTGAAAGATTTTGCTTTTTGTATCTCTCTGCCTCCTTCCCTCTGTCCCTCCTTCCCTCTTTCCTTGTTGACAGCCCTTTTCCCTTGGAGGACCTGGATTTGGTGCCCAGACCTGGCCAGTTCCACTGCTTCTGAATCTGTGTGTGTGCCCTGGGCTGTATGAGGAGTTGTAGCCAGGGTGGCAACAGGAGGAATCTTCACTTTTATCTCAATGTGAATATTGAAAACATAGTCATTGGAAACACCTAGCAAAAAGAATTTTCATTAAGTTTACGACAATATGAGATTCAAAGAGAGGTCAGATGGGACTTTGTTGCCCCTGACCCTCAAGGCAGTTCTGACCCTTGCAATCGGGATAGTTTGGCAGGACAAGCCCTGCTTGGTACCCCACTGTGGGGACCTGCAGGGGGCTCCAGAGGGGAGTCAGGTCTCCAGAGACAGCGCCTAGAGCAAGCATGCAGGGTGGGAGGCCCACATTCATCACTCCCCCAGAGCCTYAGCTGGTCTGTGTTGGACAGCTGGGGTGGCACTAGGTTCCTATCAGGGAAATTCAGAGCCAGGTGGCCGGGACCAGAGGTTAGGGAGGTGACCAGCTGRGCAGAGAACTGAGCTGAGACCAGGAAGGGATAGGCACAAAAGGCAGGAGCGTGTGAGCCAGTTTCTACACCTGGCACCTGGGCATGCATGGCCCTGGCACGTTTGCAGAAGCCTGGCTTGATTTGTATCCATCAGTGGCCAAGGAGGCTTAGTCCCTGGGCAGGGCTCCTGGCTTTCACAGGGGGCAGGCCAGGGTGGGTTCTGGGYCCTGCATGGAGGCTGGAGGTTCTGGCAGACCCTGTGCTTTGGAGGGCCAGGCTAGGGGTTTGGAAGGAGCCCAGCTCAGGCAGTCCTCTGCTCTGGCTCCCCTTTGTCCTCCGGGGGCCAGGAGAGTGGTGGGGAAGATAGTGATGGTGCAGAGCCGGGCCTGGATGGAGCAAGGCCTAGGCAGGTGGGTCAATTGCGTGTGGGTGCCTGCAGTACTTCAGGTGCCTCGGGGTGGTGGTGGGGGGACAGGACCTACCTGGAGGCAGTCGTAAAGCTTTCTGGCAAGCGTGGGCCTCTCTGGGAATCTGTGAAAGTCTTTAGAAAATTGATTGACTTATTTATTACTTCTCTATGTTATGAACCAAGTTGCTGATAGGAGGCAGGATTTTAGCCCATGGGACTTGGCAGCTGGAATCATGACACTTTAGGGCTGGGGATGTGGCTTGGGGGTAGCATGCTTGCCTAGCATGCATGAGGGCCTGGGATCGATCCCCAGTACTGCCAAAATACATGTATATACTTACATATCTTATGAGTGCAAATGGCCCAACTGACCCCATGGTCAAGGCCATGGGCTCTGCACAAAGGGCCCCTGGATGTCTCAGAAGTTTCCATCCCAGCTCAGGGAACTCTTCCTGGTCTCTTTGCCCTCCTGCCAGCTCCCAAGGCCTCCATAGTGGCTAGGACACCTCCCCAGGGACACCCTGTGGCCTCCTGCTTCCCGTCCTTGGTTGGATTTGGTAACCATGTTGGGGTGACTATTTGGTTCTTCGGCCCTGGAGACCTTTGGCCCTGCCTCTGGGAATTTAAAAATCCATACCCAACCCCCAAACYGGGCTCCCTGAAGGGACATTGTGAAGGGAGGCCAAACATGGGGTTCCTTTGCTCAGAAGCCTTGGCTGGGCCCCTTGTGCCCAGGTGTGCGGGCACTTAGGTGACACTCCCATGACACTCCTGGTTCCCCGTCCTCTGGTGTCAGCTTCATCTTTGGACCRGTCTCCAGTGGTTCTGGTTTGATGTCGGCACACTTCCTTCCCAGAAGCCCCCAGTAAATCTTGTGTCATTGGCCTGATCTGTGTCAGGTCCTCAGTCCTGAACCAATGGCGGTGGCTGGATATGGGACCTGTGGACAGGCCCAAGACAAATAGGGCCTGAAGCTGCAAGTGGGCAGGTTAGCTGAGGCAAGGAGAAGGGGCAGTGGATTCCAGGAGCTCAGACTCTGCATGTCCACTCCACAGTGGTCTCCAGAAAGGGCATGAAACCAGGAAACTTAAGTGGACATAAACTATGAATAGGTGTGTATGTGAGTGCGTGTGTGTGCGTGTGTGTGTGTGTGTGCAGTGTAACATGCTCTTGGACTTCCCAGCCTCCAGAGTCAAAGCCAAAATAAACCTCTTTATAAACCACCCAGTTCCACATATTTGACTGAGACACAGGATTTCCAGGGGCCTGGGACAGTCTCAGGCAGGGAGCAGCAAGTGTCACAGGCAAGTTGGGGACATGGGGTTGGCAGAATTGGAGAAACYCGTGGAGTCCAAGCTCTTGCTGAGGAGCCTGAATCTCAGGAGAGAGAGAGAGAGGCCAGGGAAGAGATGAGTGGACCCAGCCTGGAGGGAAGTAGAAGGAGGCTCAGGGAAGAGCCATTWAGAGAAGGAAGATGTGTTGAGGGCATCTTTGAGGAAGATGATAAGGGGCTGTGGAATTCCTTCCCTTAGGAAGACCTTTGGCCAAGGGGACAGTCAGGATGGCGGCATTGCCAGCCTGCTCTTGGGTCTTTGGGGCTYCGTGGGCAGGGACTGCTATGGGCAGGGACAGGCAGGCTGCCGCTATGAGATTGCAGGCCCTGACTCTGACTCTGCAGGAGAGCAGACCACTGAGGGAAGGCCCTTCTCAGAGTRATTAAAAAGGATAATTAACGAGGCCAGAGGAAGGTGCCTTCCCGACGGCCCCTGATTACAGATGAAGACCCAGGCTGGTGGAGGGAGAAGGGGAGACGGGACATTTTTCCTTCTCCCACGCAGCCAAGGTCAAGGATGGCTGTGGAGTCTTGCTCAAGGCCAGGCTTTGACTCCTAGGGTGGGTGGAGACTAAAAGGCCCTGCTGTCCTCCCTGCCAGTCAACTCTAGGCATTTATTTCATGTCCCCATTGTGCCCTTCCCATGTGACCTGCCAGGGGTGGGTGGGCAGGAGCCACAGCTTTGCCTTGAAGGTGACAAGCTTATGGTGGGCCAAGGTTCACACAGAGACCATCTCAGGGTTCTTCCTTCTGGGAGCTTGATAACATCACCACGTTCTTATTTTGGTAGATCAMGAGGACACTGGGTTTCCATAGAGCAGTCTTGTAATGGGCTGAGAACTTTCTGGAAGGTCATCTTCCGTTATGAGCTGATGACCCACATCTGTGCCTTCGGGGCAGTGTTTCTACCCATCTTCAGCGATGGGCATCTTCCCTCATGCCATGGGCACCTCAAACTTCAGGTCTGTTAAACCTGTATCATTCCCTGGACTCTTCCTCTGCTCTYGGGGCAGATGCTGCTCAGTGCTCAGCCAGTACTCATTCCCTCCACCTTCCTAACTGAACCATGATGTTGTCTAGGGAACCAATATACTTCCCTAAAACCTCATTACTCTAGATTTCCTTGCAGCTATCAGTAAGTAGCTTTATAATCGGGCCAATGAGATGATTGACATCCCTTCCCTAGTAAGAAGTCAAAACTTTGCTAAGAGAATGGCWTTCACCTCCTTTTCCTGCCTGGAGAGAGGGCTGGAGGTGCAGCAGCCATTTTGGGATGTAGGCACATGCCTCTGCAGGTGGCCATAAAAACAACTCACTGAGGATGGCAGAGGGCAAAGGTGGAGGCATTCAGAATGTCTAGTCCAACCTGGTCGTCTGTCCTTCTGACATATTTGTGTGAAACAAACAAACAATCTGTTACTTGAGGCCTTCCTGAATACTCCCTTGTCCTTTCCTCATGTCCTCTGATTTGACTTCCTAGAGAATTCTGGATCTGCCTCACCACCCAGACCCAGGCTTGCCATCCATTTCCTGTGCACCCACTGGGGTCCTGCTGCCAGGGTGATTCCTCTGAAACTTATTTCTGACCTTAGCATGCCTA